GCAATGACATGCCAAGGACTGTTTTCCCAACTTTAACTCCATCCCCTTTCATTTGGGAAGGGTCTGTTTTTAAGCAAAGAGAAAATGCACAAACTGAATTAATATTTTCTTCTTAGCTAAGCATAATAATAAAAAGTTGAATAAAGGTATTGACAACTATTTTAAGAGTGTAAAGTATAATGTAAAGTACAATTTAGATGTATTAATATCTGAGATTAATTATAATGATTCAATACATTGAAATGTTTTGAAAGCATTTCAAACACCTTTCCTATAATTGTAAATGTTGTTGCATTAAACTGGGAAGGGTACCATTATTTATGCAATTAGCTCTGCCCTTCCCACCATGCTCCTGTAGTCACTGTGTCAATACCTGCATTTATATTTACCATACTTATTTAGGCCTGGATATCTAAACTGAAGTTTGATTTGATGTAAACAGTGGTATTTCTGCCTGCTTAGTGTCAGCTGCGTGGATTCTGAAATCAAGCTCTGTGACTCGGGTGTAGTTTTGTTGCTGAATTTCTGATTTCTGTGCTTTACAGCATTGGCCAATTCACCTCTTAGACAAAGGTGTCCAGAAGAGGTTATTAGACTGACATGTCTAGGGAGACCTGGCAGAGACTGCCACAGCCACTAAGACATGCAGGATGAGATACCAGTGTTATCTTAGAGGGCCTGTTAATTTAAAAGTCTTTGGCATTTCAGAAATGGTTTTAGTAAGCACTGTGTAATTGCTCATACGAATTTTGTCACTGCTGGTTCAAGGAGCATAGCTACAGTGTTATCAGACTATCCCAAATGTCTAGGATCATTGGAGAGAGGTCTAGATGGTTACAGACATTGCTAGTGTTTGTTTTAATCTTCTAGATTTTTTTAGTAGTGGTATTTTGTACAGACTGGGGGAAAGTATTCATATGCAATAAGTTAAAATACAATACTGTTGTTTTGTTATCACAGGAAAACCTATTGTCATGTGATACATATTTAAAAGCAAGCCCCACTAATTTGAGTTTGTTAGTACAAACCCCAAAATCCGCAGGGCACTGCTCTTGCTGAGTTGAAGCCTTCCCAGGTATTTAGTACAATTGCACTATAAATACAGATTTAGTTTCATTAAAATGAGAAAGGTGGTAGATAACCTGTTGTGCATCACAGGAGAGCATCTCAATGAGTGATCTTTTTCTCCTCTCAAAGTTCCTTACAATTATGAAAATTTGGAAATTTTATTAGAGTACTCTTACTATCAAAAGTCTGTTGTTCTTAAAAGGCCTTGGTATTTGGCTTTTTATTTTTCTTGATTTTCATCCTTTTTTTACACCAGTCTCGGGAAATGAGAGATTTGTATCTAACCCACGTAACAAGCAGTTTGTCAGCTTCAACCACAATATATGTGGGTAATTTCAGCTGAAGGAGGGAAGCCTGGAAGGAATATTTGTTGATGACTTTTTTTTTCTCCTTAGTATAAGCTAGTAAGAGTAACTGCATGTTGTCCTCTTTTCCAGAGGCTCCTGCTGTAGCCTCAGTCTATTTCAAATAGACCTTCCTGATCATTCCTGATGTGCTGCAATAGTACAGTAACTCTTCCAGTAATTTACTGGGTAGAGGTGTTTACTGGGTGAGGATGCTGCCTCAGCTCATAAATATTTAGCAAGGCAAACTGTGAAGCAACTTCTGCCATGCCTTGACCACTATTTTAGATATGGACTCTAATACCACTTGGGGATTTTTTTTTTTCTCAGGCAATTGATGTTTATGAAATACAAAATAAATTAATGAAGATCAGGCAAATCTCCTTTCCAATAGCTTCTTTGCTTATCTGTCTCAATTCTGCATGCCCTGCAACAGTTGGGCTTCAGGCACTGATCTCAGCTAGACAAAAGACACCAGAAGCCCCTAAGCCCTACAGTGAAGAGGCTGCCACAGGCACAGCAGGTATCATGGTTTAACCCCAGCCAAACCAAACCTACACAGCTGCTCACTCAATGGGGTGGTGGTGAAGAAGAGTGAAAGTGAGAAAACACGTGGGCCAAGGTAAAAGTACTTCAATGGAGAAGGCAAAAGCCCCACTTGCAAGCAAAGCAAAGGAAGAAATTCATTCACCACTTCCCATGGGCAGTCATGAATGCTTCTCATCCTCAGCCATCCCCGGGAAAGCAGGGCTCCATCATGTATAACAACGATTTGGGTAAACAAACCCCATCTCTTCGAATGCCCTCCCTTCCTTTTTCTTCCCCATAGCTTTATATTCTGAGCATTGACACCATGTGGTATGGAATGTCCCCTTGGTCAGTTGGAGTAAGATGTCCTGATGGTATTCCCTCCCAACTCTGTGCATCCCCATTCTCCTCGCTGATGGGGTGGGATGAGGAGCAGAAAAGGCTGTGTCAGTGTTACCCAGCAGTGACTAAAACATCCCTGGGTTATCAACACTGTTTCCAGCACAAATCCAAAACATGGCCCCATACCAACTGGTGAAGTACACCCTCCCTGTGCAGCCACTTGGCTGCTCTGAGCACACACACAGCATCTGAAGAGCAGTGCAGGAAGTTTTCCAGGGTCACTGAATTTCCTGTGCTTTCACTGCACATGCATATGTGGTACCAAAGATTATTACATGGACTCTGAGGCATCACAGCATCTTGGAGAAAAAGGTATCCCTCACAGTTGATGATGAATTAATGCAATCATGTTGAAAATGAGTTGCAAGAAAGGCAAGGAAATGCAGTGATTTGTCTCCTTTTTTTTTATGTTTTCTCATTACTAGGCAGAATGGCAAAACAACATTAAATATTAATTTATCTTCTAGATCATTTCTAGTGCTTTATATGTACCAGCACAGCGTGAACATGTATATAGGGCCCTATTTATATCAGCTGATTTTCAGTAGTCCTTGGGTTCATAAGAGTGTAAATAGCCGAGCATAAAAAAAATAATTATATTCTCACATAAGCATATACCCCCTCATATGCATAGATCTGATACATTTGATGCATTTCATGTGTTTTGTCCTTGAAATAATATACCCTGTGCAAACACTCTTCAGTTGCATAATGTATAATTCATGCAAGTTGGAATGAGACAAGTGAAGACTTGAATTGGTGTCCTTGGATATCACAAGTCATTCAACAGTAGACTTACTAAGGTACAAAACCTAAACCTGGTGTGAGGTCAGATTTGACCTGTAACATATGTCTTTCATTTGTTTAAAAAAAAAAAAATCTGGACAGTGTGAATGATTAAATTCTGAGAGTTAAAGTAAGAAGCAAGCTTTAATGTATTTTTTATGAGCTGAAAAGCACTCATTTCTGTCAAGGCTGGTGATTTATAAGGAGGAAAAAGAAGAACTGAGTCATATGCATTGAAAACAATCTGTTGGTTTAAGGGCAAAAATGCATTAAAAATTTCAAAGACACAGCTCCATAATAGTGTCATTTGAAGGCATTGTTTCTCCAGAAGGCATTTGTCCTCTACTTTCTCAACCATCTCTGGGCATTGCTATGCCAGTTCTTTCGAATAACATTTGTCCAGCGTAGTGAGTTTCACATCTGAGCTGCTTTCTGGTAACTGCTTGTGTGTATTAAATGGCTCCTCTAGCTTTCCACTCTGGTGTTTGTTCTGCTTTAATTTAGAAAAAAACAGCAGGTTTCATTCCTAAAGGTATTAATCACACAAAATCTTGTTGAAATTGGGTTCTTTGTTATTAGGGAAGACTTAATTGTCCCTTAAAATATATTTTATTTTTAAAGTTAGTGTAAATAAAGTATGATTGATACTTCCTGCGAACAAGAGGTTCTAGGTCTTTCCCAGTGCAAGTATTATTGTACACTCATAACTAGTTAACTGTTGCAGATTAAAACAAGGAGTTAATTTGACTTATTCTATATTTGTATATTTAGAAAATGTTTAATGTTATGGTACAGATTTTTTGTTTATATAGACAAAGTAATCTCTAACCCAAAGTACTAAAAGGTTTACTTTTTATTGTATTATGCAATGTGGACATGTCAGAGTGTTAGAAAAGATATTTTATAAAAAAGTTAAGGCTTGTTCCTAACAGTGGCACTAGTGGCATGAATTATTAAAATCTCTTTATCTGTACAAAATGAAACAAAATATACAATAAATATGTAAGTAGATTTCTATTTAAAATTTTGTTGAAAGTGCACTCCACATCTTACTTTTGTTTAAAAGGCAAAAAAAAAGTCTGTGTATTTTCCTTTGAGATGTTTCATATGTGAGGTGCAAGTGTTGTGTGCTCCACTGGAGAGGAGAATCCCTGTCCTCCTGGAATAAAGTATTTACTTCTGGTAAGAGTGGGTTTTGTGCAATAACCTACCTGTTGTTCAGGTTTAAATATTGCACATTTTGGATATCAGACTTGCGTTGTTTCTCATGGAAAAACTCTGTATGTGATGAGAGGAACAATGTGTTTTGTAAGAGCTGGTTCTACCAATTGCATTGGAGTCTCAGACCTCACAGCTGGCTGGCTGAATACCTCCTGCACTCTCATTGTGAGAAGACAGAAGTTGTGCGGTTGAGGAAGACTTGTCACACTTGTGCCTTTCATGTGATGGAGGGTTCTTGTGCTTGAATGATTTGATTTTCCATAGTAGCATTCTGTGTTGTTTTTCCTCTCATGGGAAGAGAGAGAACATGGGGAACTGAGAAGGATGGGAAAGAAAATCTCTTCTCCCCATGCAAGTTTTAGATTTGCCTCTTAAGATTGGGCTTGTTCCCACACAAAAAAAATACATGCAGTGAAAAGTGTTTTTGTTATGTCAGCTAGCTAAAACATTGGGATTTCTGCCAATCTTACAGCTCATCTATAAGGAATATTGAATAGGAAATTTGGTTCTTCCATGAAGAATCACATGATGTACAAAAATTGAGAACATCTCTTTATGGATGCCTTCACTGATGTTATAGTTTCAACTGAGGCAATTCTCAAATGTATTTCACTATTCTTTGCTGACAATCTGATTTGTGCTTTCCAACAGTGGGATGGCGTAGGACCTCTCCCAGACTGTGCAGAACCACCCAAAGGAATCCAGATGCTGTGGCACCCTTCAATAGTCAAACCCTACCTCACACTTCTTTCTGAGTGCTCAAATCCAGACACGCTGGAGGGGGCAGCTGGGGCACTGCAGAACTTGGCTGCTGGGAGTTGGAAGGTAGGAATATTAAACCAATATGTATTTCCTCTTTAGTTCTGAAACCACCCTACAGCTGACAGCAGGTTGCTGATACAAATGTATCTAATTGCTTCTGGTGCTGGAATCACCTTCTGATCTCATAGAACTATCTGAAGTCAGATTTGACATAGTATTTCAAGTCCTAGGTAGTCATCTCATAGCAAATGTCAGCATACAGCAGCAAAGTTCACATCAGTCAAATCAAGTATGAAAAATTGCCACTGAAAACCAATATCCAAATGTGGAGAATGAGGAGAAGCAGTTCATCATGAACCTGGGTGATAGAGCCATGAAAAATGAGACAAAAATGCCACCAGTGGCAATCAGATTAAATCATGTTGTTTTGTCACTGCAGAAACTGGATGACATTCCGTCCCCTAGAAGAATCCAGGGCACAGCAGAGCAAGATATAAATGATGCAACACCAGCACAAGTAATCTTAGCATCTACTTTTTTTTTAAAATAAGGCATTATTAAAATACATTCAAAATATGATTAATTATATCCAGTGAGTGAGGAAATGTGGAATCAAGGCACTGTACTCTAGCTAATCCTATTTTTCAATTATATTCAAAAGCACCATTTTTCTTTTACGTATTATTTGCACTATGTCAAGTAAAAAATTTTAGAAAATACTTAAAAATTTAGAACAAATCAGTAAACTTCAAGATAACATTAAACTTTGTTTACTTTTTAGGGCAACTTTCCTGATGGTAAACTGGTTGAATCAGGTGAAGCTGCTAACTGTCTAATCCTATGGTGTAACTATAGTGCATTGATTTTAAATTAACTCTTATCAGGAATTTTTCTCATTTACAATGAAAACAGTCATGTGTGGGGAAATGCACTGATCAAAGTTATGTCTCAGAAGGTATTCTGTTGGGTTTTAAGCAGTTGGGCATTCATATGAGATATGTAAATACCAATTTAATTAAGCATTCAATCTGAAATATTAGCACTGACACTAAGAAATTGTTTTCTTTCTCCCATAAAGCTTTATTGGAAGTTGGGTTGGCACACTCACTAGCTCTGCCAAGGAAAATTATGTTTTTTTGGTTTTTTTATAATTGTGTTCCACTAGACTTATAATATGCCTTTGACTGTTGCATTCAGTGTCATGTAAAATGATTTAACAAAGTACCTCTTCAGTGATTTTTTTGTCCTATACAGTATCCTGTACTGTGCCTGAAAATCATTATGGTTTTATTATTATCATGTTGTAGACTGCTTCAGATGATGTAATCCTGGCAAAGAAATGCAATAAATGTGTTCTGTCCATCTGGGAATGGGTGTAGCCCTGGTCCAAATGAGAAAACAATGCCTACATGTTTGCCAGGACTAATAGAAGTGCTAAAATCCAAGCGCTATTCCTTCTCCTATTTCTAATAAATCTGTATACCTGTCATCCTTTAGTTGGCAGAAGTGTACAGGGAGAGGAAGGGAGGCTCTGTAGAGCTCTTTGGTTTGGCTGGCTTAGAAAAACTGGTTTTGGACTTTAATACTATCTGTGCTGATACCATGAGAAAAACTGAGTTGTTCTCATATTGCTCTATTTTTCTAAAGATCCACCAATTCTACAAAAAGCGATGTGAGACACAGAATGAATATCCTTAATTTCACATGTCATACTAGCCATTCTTGTGAGGGGAGTAATCCTCTTTGGGGATTACATAAGCATTGATGTTTCCACCTTTTGACCTCTCCTTTCCACTGCTGCAGTCCAGATATAAAATGACTGAAATAAAAGATAGAAAACTCTTAAAAGAAGAGGTTATTCCTAATGGAGATTTTAATATTTTAGTTCCTCCAACAAATGGTAATTGTATAAAGAATGGAGATTTTTTTACTTGAATTCTTTCAAGAATAACTTTATGATGGACTGAAAGAGAGAAGAGCCAACTGTATGAAGATAAACAATGTTGCTGTTAATAGCAATAGCAGTTGTGGGCTTTTTCCAATTAGCATTATTTTAATGCCAGAAGAGTCACAGACTATATGAGGCACCCAGCCTGCAGGATGTGCTCACACACTACTGAAAATACAGTATTTTCTGGAAAAAAATACAGTGTAGTTGATATACTTGCATATTTCTTTCCTAACTGTTTCACCCTTTTGGTTCCTCTGGTACAAAGCTGTCTAATCCTCTTGTGTGGCCAAGAGGTAATATTTTTAACAGAGGGAGTGCTTAGCCAGTGCTATTACAGAGGGAAAGTGAGCAGATAAAAGGAAGCCTGAGTAATTTTAAAAAAATAAGAAGTTGTGTAGGGGATTTAGATAAATGTCTACCACTAGAATTAACAGTCAATATGTGTCTAAATCTCCTAGACAACTTTGGAAAATTTGAAGCATGAAAAGAAAGCAGCAGTATGTAGCTTTAAGGATTAACAGCTCAGAAAGGCTGAAAGTTTTCATTATTTCAGGGAATATAGTTTCTCAGGGATACATACACATAAAATCAACACATGCACATGGTGAAATATAATCTGTAGGACATTTTTAGCACTGCTTCAGTTGCAGGAATTCCTTCTAAAGCCAAATACTAACATAAAAGAAAAAAGTGTGACATATTTATGTTCGGCAGCATGGCAGGAGCTGCCGAAACCAGGATCTTCCTGAGAGCTGTGTCTCCGGGGAAAGGGATAGCTCCATGCACCAGACGCTCGCACACCATGATCTTTATGAATGTCAAACAAGAGAGACGAGAGGGGTTCTTTGTTTGGTATTCCTGGGGAGTTTATTATCCTCACCAAAAATGGGACCAGAGTCAGGGAACCAAGAACAAAGGATGGTCCAGGGTCTTATACAGGCAGGGAAGGGCAGAGCATCATGAGGGCCAATGGGTAGAGGGCACAGGGGCAGTGCAGAGGCATGGTTAAAGGACAACAGCCAACCAGGGTCCAAAGGCAGAGTGACAGAATGGGGACCAGTGGGGAAACCAGGAGTGGGGAACATTCTAGAACTGTGGTGGAAAACAGGGATGACGTAATTCTGGGGTGGGGACAAGGCTGGGATGATGTAACTTGAATGATGTAACTGGGGTACATAAAACAAAAAGGAACTGTGGGAGAACATTTCTTAAATATGGGTCTCATCCCAGGGTATTCCACTCATGGGATTCCCCACCAACTCCTGGTATGCAACATTTATGTACAGTTTTTCTATGTCAAAATGAAGCACTTTGGACTAAGGTCTTGATATATATTACCTATCTGCAAAGTTAAAATTTGGAGTTTTTTATAATGGCTAATGAAATATTTGGTCAGTGCAATAATTATTAGACCAAGCACAATCTGTAACAAATTAGAAAAGGATCATCTTGGTGGCAAATATATGAAGAGATCCAAATGAAGAATCAGTAAAACAGGATACTGATTTTGAGGTATGAGGAAGAATATTTTCAATGTGGAAATTTAACATGGCATAATTTATGACTGCATTTCTTGACTTTGGTGTATATTCTGGTTTCAGAAAAGATTGTCAGCTTATATACAAAACAGAACTCATTTTGGAAGAGACTGTTTCAGATAAACACAGACATTTGTTCATCTCAATATTCTGCATCAAGATGTTGTCACATGAGGACACTGGTATTGGAATCTGAAGAAACATCTCTGTCATGGAAAGTTACATGCATATCCTCACAGAGATATCTTTTTTTTCATGTGCTTACTTGAACAAAAGTAAGCATATCTATGAAAAAACAGGATTGGCCCTTCTGAAATAATATCTATGGAGACAGCCAAATACATAAATCTTTTGGAAAGACTGGATAAATTAACATTTTCCACATTGCTGCCCAAGGTCTAACTTCTGCCCTGCACAGTGACACTGCATGTCCCCCTCCTGACTGGCTGCCAGTAATACACACTGCAAGCACAGTGCTGCTACCTGACAGCAATGGGGCAGCTTGTCAGCCCTGGATCTGCACCTACCTACCACCTTCTGCAGAGCTCAGCTGCTATGTGGGTCTGGAAGGGTTGCTGTTTTAGAAAAGTCATTGCTTCCTGAAGCCTTTTATCCCATCAATCATAACCATGGTAATTTCACAGTATCCTGAACATCCTGCAGACAGAAGGAACAACACATAAAAAGCATTGCCATTGGGTTTGGCTTTGCTTCTTCTCATTGCCACTCTAAGATTTATTTTTTTTTTTAAAGAATAGGCTTTTTGTAATTATACTTAATATAATATACTCAAATATTAAAGCTGCTCAGAAATATGAAATAATAAAACTGGGGAAACACTTTCCTCGTCAATTTTAGCTGGAGTTTTCCCTGAAGAAATAAAGTTTGAGACATGCCTTTGGAACTAGTGCAAACTCTTTATTTTCCATTAGGTATTAACTTTCACTGGAACCTCTTTTATTTTTCTTTGCCACTTAATTTGTGTTTAACCAAATTTGTGCAAAAATGTAGAATAAGAAAAGAGGAGGCTTTCTGACTCCCTCAGCTCTATTCTGAAGACAATTGCCTGCTTATTAAGAAATTTCTCCTACTATAACTCTTCAAACCAGAAGTCCTTTCTGCAACCTCATGTAATTTTTTTATTTTAATGCCTTCGAAAAATTTTAATGCCTTGAAAAAAATTACATGCTTTAAATTACAAGAGTGCTCCAGTAAAATTGATCTTTTTATATGTAGTCTGGCATTAGTACCTCTCCTCAGATGGTGAAAATAAAAGCGGCAAGTTCTTTTTTAGATTGCACCTTGGTCAATTGGCTATTAACACATTGAATTGCTGAGCCTGTAAGAAGTTATATGCAAAATGTGCTTAAGTTAACAATGTCAAGCATCCAATATGGTCACTTCTGATTAAAATTACCCTCTCAGGAAGAAAGGAAATATTAGGATATCTGCTTATTACTGTCTCTTTGTGTATGTATCTGACAGCTGAATTTAGGCTGATGTCAGTTTATCTGCCAGACATTACTGCAATATTGCAAGACCTGTTGCTCTGAATCATAGAATCATAGAATCAA